CGAGCAGCTCGACTAACTGCGTCCGACAGGGACAGGTGCGGTCCTTCACACTGGCTCGTCTAAGGGTAGAAACACTAACGTCATCCTTCTCTGCCCAACGGCCTTTTTCAAAAACCTGCAGTTCTACCTTCATATGCAGTCTTTTTGTTAGAGCTAAGGTTGACAACAGTAAGAAGGGATCTGTGACACAATCAGACTTTTCTGTTCAGTGAGTTTGGAACAGCAGTTCTCACCTTCCTTCTCTTAGCAGGCATCCCATGCAGGTACGCATCAGACAGCGGGGGCTGGGCTTTGATCTTCCTCTGGGACAGCATGTCATGTCTGATGATGGGAACCCATTCCTGACCAACGCATTATTGCACAACTGTAAGTGATGGTCACTCATGTATGTAGCTAAAAATCTGTGTAAAGGAAAATCACAGTTGTAGAGGGCTTTGCCCCCCAACAACTTTTCCTCTGATGTCAGAATACACACAACTGCTTATTTACATTTCCTGCCACAGATGCCTTTATGAAGACCACGCTGGAGAAAACAAATGCTAAGGCAAATAAATTCTGTAACTATAGTGACTGTCACTCATTTTTTAAACAGTGTGGTTTCATTAAAATAAATTAGCTTACCATCCCAGTACCATCCATGTCTAAACGGACTGAGAATCGATCGCTTTTCCTGCTCTGATTCTTTCTATTAGACAACGTTTCAGTGCACAACAGAGGATAGTTCAGAATATTAAACATTAAACAGCACTGGCATTACTGGCAGCTGCCCAACTAAACAAGATAAATCCATACAGGACATTATATCTTTTACCAACTGCCGTGCGAGGGGGGAGAAGAGTCTTTCTATTTGTTCTGGGCCGCACCAAAAACAACACAGAGCGGATCTCGTTTAATTTGATGCCGCAGGACTTCACACATAGTTTGGAAAACAGAGTTCCAGTGAAGGACAGGAAGTAATGGACCAGGAGCACCCCTACACCTTCTACAGGTCAATATACCAACTTAGCCCAGGACCAGTGTGTGTCGAGCACACACTGATATATTGTGAACTTGGCCATGTGTTTATGTGTGATATGAAAGTTAAGATTTGTTCCATTTAGATTGGACAGCAGCTACTGAAGAACATTGGAAATTTGAAATTAAATTGAACTGATATTGAGCTCCTATAGGCTGGTGTGACCATTAAAGAATTGTCTACAGGATTGTCTGGAGGTTTTGGGAGAATTGTGCTGTCAGTGTCAGACCTGTAAAAACTGAGCAGTGGCAAATCTGGTGGATAGTTGAGAAAAACTTGTCAAATTGTCCATTTACATATAAGTTCGCAAAAGAGTTTAGACCAGGGGTCGGCAACCTTTCTGATGACGAGTGCCATCTGAAATTTCCTCAGAGGTCAGTGTGCCATATTAGCAATAAATTTAATAACGCTCTATATGAACAGTTACACACTATATAGAACCACTTCATAGGATTATATTTGTTTACAGATGTTGGCAGCTGTCAG